GGAAAATATGTCAAACTAGAACTCTGTACCCAATTAAAATAATATTTTTTTCAAAAGTAAAGACAAAAGCTTTTTTAGGTAAGCAAAAACTGAGATAAGTTTTTGCCAGTATTGTTTTTCTAAAGGTTCATATATATTTTGCTTCCACATAATATTTTGCTTTAAGCAGTCAATTATTTTTGAAAAGTTTATAAAATGGGGTCTGGAGAGATGGCTTAGCAGTTATGAGTATTGGCTGCTCTTCCAGAAGATGCAGGTTTAGTTCCCAGACCCCACATGGTGGCTAACAACTGGCCTTAACTTCAATTCCAGGGATCCAACTCTCTCTTCTGGCCTCCACTGCACTGCATGCATGTAGTTTACTTACATGCATGTAGACAAAACATTCATACACATTAAAAATAAAAAAGTAAAAATGTTTAAGTATTATAAAATGAAAAATAATTTCTTTAATACATACCCACATAGTAACTATTGTTTTTATGCTAAGGACTTCCTTGTATTTTTTTAACTTTTAAATTTTATTTTATGTGCATGAGTGTTTTGCCTGCATGTATGCAAGTGTATCATGGACATGCAGTGACCATGGCCAGAGAAGGGCATCAGATCCCCTTGAACTGGAGTCATAGGTGATTGTTAGCTGCCATGTGGTTGCTGGGAATCAAACCTGGGTCCCCTGCAAGAGCAGTCAGTGCTCTTAACTGCTGAGCCCTCTCTCCAGTCCCTACTTCCTTGTTCTGTTTTTGTTTCTCTTTTCTTCTTCTTCTTCTTCTTCTTCTTCTTCTTCTTCTTCTTCTTCTTCTTCTTCTTCTTCTTCTTCTTCTTCTTCTTCTGAGAGAGAGAGAGAGAGAGAGAGAGAGAGAAGAGCCATCTCTCCAGTCCCTACTTCTTTGTTCTGTTTTGGTTTCTCTTTTTTTCCTGAGAGAGAGAAAGAGAGAGAGAGAGAGAGAGAGAGAGAGAGAGAGAGAGAGATTTTCATAGAGCCCAGGCTGGCCTCAAACTCGTAACCAAAGATGACTTTGAAATGCTGATCCTTCCAAGTGTTGGAATTACAGATGTGTGCTCTCACACTCAGTTTAGAAAATCACTTTAAACTATATCTTTATATAAGGATACAACCAGGTTAATGAGAAAATTATGACCGGGTTTCATAATTTTGCCTGTAATCTGAACACTCTGGAGGTTAAGACAGGAGGATTTCAAGTTTGAAATTAGCCTGAGATAATAGAGTAACTCTGTCTTAAAAGGAGAGAGAAAAGTACAATCATAGGGAAAATATACCACAAAACCATTAATCAAAAGATTTGTGGAGGGGCTTGGGGACATAGCTCAGTGGTATAGCACTTGTCTACCATGTGTGAGGCCCTGGGTTCAATCCTAAGCACCAGAGAGAGGAAGGAAAAAGAGAGGGGAGATTTGATGAGTTTTGGGTTTGTTTTTTTTAAGCTAAAATACAGATAAATAGCTTTCTGCCTAAGGACAACAAATCATTGGTGATTAAACATTTTAAAGTGCCGCATTGATCTCTAACTATCAATCTTTTCTAAAATGAAAGATGATTACACTGGAATTGTAGAATAGAAATACAACGTGAGCTCCAAAGGGAACCACATAGTTTAAGTTTTCAAAAAGCTACATTTTAAAAAAGTAAAAGAAATAATGGTGGATAAATATTATTATAAATTTGTTAAAGCACATAGAATGTACAATCCCAATAGCTCATCCTTGGTTAATGGAATGTCAGTGCTGGCTCACACATTGTCATACATGCACCTCTCTGGTGCAGGTTATGGGGGAAACTATGCACGCAGAGGGCAGGAGACATGTATTTTCTGTACCTTGGGCTCAACTTCTCTGTGAACATAAAACTATCCTAAAAGGTAAAGTCTGGGGGCTGGAGAGATGGCTCAGTAGTTAAGAACACTGACCCTGCAGAAGAGCCAGTTTCGCATCCCAGCATCCACATGGCAGCTAACAACTGTCCGTAATTCCAGTTCCAGGGGATCCAACGGCCTCTTCTGTCCTCCGAGGGCATTGCACGACACGGGTGCACTTACCTACATGCAGGCAATACACGCACATAAAATAAAAATAATAAATAAAATATATTTTTTCAAAAAGTAAAGTCTTTTTTTTTAAGGACAAAGAAACAAAGAACTATACAACTTGAAATTGTAGGCTGTGGTGGTTTGAATGAGAAATATCCCCATAAGCTCAAGTATTTGAACACTTGGTCCTCAGTGGGTGGTGCTGTCTGGGGCAGGTCAGTGAACTTTCAGGAAGTGGGGTCTTGCTGGAGGAAGCATGTCACTAGGGGTTCATCATCGTCATCTCACCCCACTTTCAGTTCGCTCATTCTGCTTCATGTTTGCAGTTTAAGATGTGAGCTCTCTGATCTTCCCTCCTGGCACCATGCCTGCCCCTGTTGCCATGCCCCACCGCCATGATGGACTCTTATCCCTCTGGAACCATAAGCCAAAAATGAACTTTTCCTCCTATAAATTGGCTTGGTTATGGTATTTTATCACAACAACAGAAAAATAACTAATATATAAGCCAAATAAAATGATTCTTCCTTAAGTTGCTTTTTGTCAGGGTATGTGTCACAGTAGCAGAAATGAAACTAGGATAGAGGGTAAAGGTGCTTTCTGTGGAAGCCTGGTGACCTGAGTTTGATCCCCAGAACCCATATAAAGGGTGGAGGAAAGAATGAACACCATAGTTGTCCTCTGACCTCCACATGTGCAACATAATATGCACATACCTGGGCATACACAGGCATGTGTGAACACATGCACACATACACACACACACACGCACACACACACACACGCACACACAATCTGACTTAAGTTTGGAGTAGCCACACTTCAAATACTCAAGCTACAGATTGCTACTGGAAACCATATTGAACAGTCTAGAATCCAGACACTTGCTTTTAAATTACTATTTCATTTTTATTTATTTGTGTATGTATGTATTTGAGTGGGCACACATGCCACAGCATCCATGTGGAGGTCAGAGGACAACTTGTGGGAATCAATTCTCTCCCTCCACCATGTTGGCCCTGGGGGCAAAACTCAAGTCGTCAGACTTGGCAGCAAGCACCTTTTATCTGCTGAGCCACCTCACTGTCCCTCTTGGGTTTTGTTTTTTATTTTATTTTTATTTATATAAAATTTATGTTTATATAGTTTCTACTGTGTGTTTATGAGTGTTTTGCCTGCATGTATATAAGTCCACCCATGCATGCATTGCCCACAGACGTAAGAAGAGGGTGTCAGATCTCCTGGAACTGGAGTTACAGAGGGCTGTTAGCCACCATGTGGGTACTGGGAACTGTACCCTGGTCTGCTGCAAGAGCAGCTTTAACTGCTGAGCTATCTCACCCCTGCCATCATTTGTTTTTAATATAAGATCTCACAGCCCGGTGTGATGGCGCATGCCTGTAGTCCCAGTACTTGGGAGGCAGAGGCAGGCGGATCTCTGTGAGTTCAAGGCCAGCCTGGTCTACATAGTGAGTTCCAGGCCAGCTGGGGCTACAGGGAGACCCTGTGTGAAAAAAAAAAAAAATAAAGAAAAATATAAGATCTCACAATATACACCAGGCTGGTCTCAAATTCACCATCCTCCTGCCTGTTTCCTGAATGCTGATATTACAGGTGTCTTCATTCTAGACTTTTTGACTCTCCTCTCTCTTTTTCTTAAAAAAAATCTTGTTTTTATTTTATGTGTATGTCTGTATTGCCTGCATGTGTGTAAGTGCACCTGTGTCATGCAATGCCTGCAGAGGTCAGAAGAAGGCGTCAGATCCCCTGGAGCTGGAATTTTGGACAGTTGTTAGCTGCCATATGGTCGCTGGGATTCGAACCCTGGTCTTCTGCAAGAACATTCAGTGTTCTCAACCACTGAGCCATCTCTCCAGCCCCAACTCTCCTCTGTCACTGAGGAGTGGGGGACAGGTGAGAAATAAGTTCAGCCAGTTAGTCCCATAGCCCAAGTTGAAGATCTCTCATTTCAGTTTGAGTGTTAGCATTATTCAGGGTGTCAAATACTGTGTTAGACATTTTAAATACAATGTGAAGTTGGATGTGGTGGCACATGCCTAAACTCCTAGCACTTGATGAGGAGACCAAGGCTAGCCTGGGCTACGTGACAAATTCAAGGTCTGCCTGAGCCATAGGGTTAGTTGGGGACAGTGTGCAATGTGGACTCAGGAGTGTGTCAGGCCTCTCCCTGTTCCACTACCGTACTTTGCTGCACTCTGATCCAGGGGCAAGTTAACTGCTTCGTAGAGATCTGAATGGAGGAAACTGGAAACAAGCAATTGACATCATCCCTGAACAGCAAGGTAACTCCAATATGGATGGTCTATTTGTTCAAGGGGCCTGGCGGCTGGGGGAGGGAAGTGCGTCTACACAATAAATCCACTTTGATAGCTAGACTCTCTCTCGCTCTCATTCTCAACCTCCAAATCCTCTGGAAACAAGTCTGAACCTCAAGGCTCTCCAAGTCTAGTCACACATTTCTCTAGGACTAGGTTTTAACAATGCATGAGTGGCAGGCTGAGGCCACCGTGCGAGTCCCGGCCTCCGGCCTTTTGGCTGTCGGGGGGGAGGCCAGGGGGCACGCCTTCTTAGGTAAGGCAGCACTTGGCCAGAAAAAGGCTATTGAGAGTATCACCTAGGATGCAAGAAGGGGAGAAGCCCCTGCCTGCGGTTCAGCCTTGATGTAGCCCTTGGATTTCAGACGGACTTGCAGTGTGAGCTCTCAGTAGGTCAGCCGCCTCTGACCCTCGGTGGCCCCAAGCGCCCCGAGAGAATGCAGAAGCTTTCCAAAGTGGTCTCCAGCCTCTGACTTCCCCGGAGACCGAGGCTGAAGGCGACAAACAGCTGGCCCGAAACAAAGAGCCAGGGTCTGGTGCGCGTTGCCGCCCCCCGGGAGGTTTTGGGAACGCCAAGCAGTCAGGGGCGGGGCTTCTGCGCGCTACAGCCAATCAGAGGAGGCCTGGGTGCAGGGGGCGGGGCCTGCGGCCTGCGGCTGAGGCGGCCCGGCGGGGTCCGAGCATCCCGCGGCTTCGGACCCGCCCGGCCGGGACATGGCGAGCGTCCGGGCCTCCCCACGGGGCGCTCTGCTGCTGGTGCTGGCCGTGGCGGGGGTCGCGGAGGTGGCGGAGGGCCTCGCCCCCGGCAGCGCGGGTGAGTAGCCGCGGG